AGGTTTTTAAAATGCGTCTACTAAGAATAGGAAAAGGTTTTCACACCCTTATCAAAAAAAAGGTTTTCACACCCTTATAAAGAATGTATTGTTTCCATCTCCAACGAATGTGAGATCTCATAATGCACCCTCCTTTGGGGCCCAGCATCCTCACTAGCACTCGTTCCTCTCTTCAATCGATGTAGGATCTCACAATCAACCCCCTTCAGGGCCCCACGTTCTGGCTGGCACTCGTTTCTCTCTCTAATCAAAGTGGGATCTCATAATCTATCCCCTTTCAGAATCTACCATCCTCGCTGACACTTGTTCCTCTCTCTAATCGAAATGGGATCTCACAATTCATCCCCTTCGGAGCCCAACATCCTCGCTAACACTCGTTCCTCTCTCCAATCGATGTGGGATCTCACAATCCACCCATCTTTGGGGCTCAACATTTTCACTGGCATACTGCCCGATGTCTTGCTCTGATACCATTTGTAACAGTCTAATTCTCTTTGGGCTTTCCCATTTGGGACCCCTCAAGTTTTTAAAACGTGTCTTCTAGGGAGAAGTTTTCACAACCTTATAAAGAATGTTTCGTTACCCTCTCCAATGAGTGTGGGATCTAACAATCCACTCTCCTTCAGTGTTCAGCATCCTCGCTAGCACTCTCTCCTCTCTCCAATATATGTGGGATCTCATAATTCATCCTCCTTCGGGGCCAACGATTGTGCAACTATAAGGGCCTTAGTACTATGGTTCTTGGTTCTTGGTTCTTATCCTTAGAACTTGAATCTTGATTCATGTTCCAGTCCTTGATGTTTGTCTTGTTCTTGGTACTTTCTAGGCTCTTGTTCTATTATTGTTTCTTTCTTCAAGGCACTCCTCCTAGAATTTACAGCACTAGCCATGTACCTGACAACATGTGTCCAAGGCTTCATGCTTTCCGAGTGACACTGCCTTAACCTACGTCCAATGCTTCATGTGTTCCAAGCGACGTAGTCTGAACCTGCATCTTAGGGCTTGTCGTTCGATATAGTCTTAAAACATATGCCCAAGGCTTCATGTGTTCCTAGCGGCATAGTTTGAAAACTTACGCTTAAGGCTTCATGCGTTCCAAGCAGCGTAGTCTAAGTCATGAGCATGTTGTACCATGGGAGGTCTTAGGAGGTTCTAGATTCTTGGCTAAGGTAACTTACTCTCTTCTTATTCCATCGTGGCTCTAGACTACTTCCCATGATAGACCATAATGGTCACGTGATCGGTACATATATGAACATGGCATCCTACAAATCTTTGGGTACCCATAACATGGTGCAAGGCATCTCATCTAGGTGAGGGAAACGTGAGGCCAAACATGATATCCTGCAAGGAAACATGGTGCAAGGCATCCCACCTAGAAGAGGAAAACTTGGGCCTCAGAAATCACCGCGTGGTGAGAGTTCATGTGTCACTCTGGACATGATTATAGTATTACCTAGCATTCTTGAGTTTTTGTGTCTGAGGACCTTGGTCCCTTATTCTTGATTGGTACCTAGCATTCTTCTTACTTTGTAATTGTAGAGCTTGTGTGATATTGTTCTTGGTTATTAACCATGTAAGTTTTTAGGGTTCTTAATTCCTTGAGGCATAAGTTGTAACATCCATTCATAATTATATGAACCCATTATAATAGCTAGCCTGAATTATTCTAGAAAATCATACATTCATAATGAATTCATCGAGAGTTCTAGAAGGGTCTTGAATCTTGAGATGTTTTCTTTAGGCGTTTCTTAGGTTTTATCTTGGTTTAGGTTCCAAGCGTGCTCTAATCAACTTCAACTCTTGAACATAGCTTCTTGTCCTTAGGAATAGTCCTTATAAAAAGTAGCAAGTTATTTGAAAGGCGTATGACCTTGAATTATCATAATAGTCCTGGGAGAATTTTGGTCATTTTACCTATAATTCTTGGATTTTCTACTTAACGAATTCCAATGGCTTTCAAACTTCACCACATCATCAAACGTAAATTACCTTAGGGGGCATTATGGTCATTTTACACTATTTCTTGGTTTACCTACTTATCCTTATCCAATGATCACCAAATTTCATATATAAACTCAACATGCTATAATATTCCCAGCATTAAAATTTCATAGGTAGCAAAGTTTCTTTAATAGGTTATTTTAACGTTACTTAAATTTCGAGTAATATGACCAGTTCAGGGTCTTAACTAACGGTTCTTTGAGTTTTTCTTTAATATATTCTTAAATCATACTTGGTTTAGTGTTCATATAAAAATCTAAGTGATTCCTTCAAGTATTTCTTAAGAAAAGTTTAAGGTGGCTACTTAACATGTAACGACCCGAAATTTTCTACTTAATTTAAGGTCGCTATTGTATACATATCCTAAACATTGGATGGGAAAGACTTCATTTAAATTCCATAAAACATATCATTTATCTTAAAACACAGCCATGAACTTACGTGTTTTGAAAATATCTTTAAAACGACACAATAAAAGACCTGAAATAAAATAAATAAGCGGTTAAGTTAAAAACATCTTATTCTAGCCTAAGTCTAAGAAAATAAATATCACTATCCTATGCATGTACTATGGTCTCGAGTTGCGATGTCGTCGTCAGTCGTACAGGAATGCCTTGCCTTAACTTGAAAAAAATATAGTAGCACATGGCTTGAGTATTTTAAGAAATACTCAGTATGTCATCCACTATTGAGGTTAAATGCAACAATCACATGCGAATGAGATGATGAAATCTATCTTTCAATCTGTCTTCCTACGGTGCTGTTCTAACGGATAATTTTGGACGTGTACCATATACTATACACACAACCCATATCGGGTATGGGCTCACCAGTCAGTTCGCACACCGTTGGGCCACCTTACTTGTCGGGCGAGCATACACTGGGACGCTCCCTAGGCCGAACACCCGGTTAGAACTAGTAACCGTCATAGCAACGCTATGAAAAACATAACGATCGTTGTCCTGCCATTGGATGTACGCGTCCGTACCCTCGTGATGGAATAGGGGTATCCCCCAATTCATGAGTACACATCATGCATGAGGTCCCAACATCTTTCCATTTTCATTATCATTTAATACAACCCCGCTAGCATTATGTACATATCATATCATTTTTCATATCGTTTCAGATATCGTTCATCATTCATATCATATCATTTCTCATTCTTCAGTTCTCAAATCATACATAATTCTAACGGGGTTATATTTCATGTCATTTATCGTGATTTCATGTCATTCATACATGTTGTATACACACAATTTAAGAGACCTAACATAACGTTCTATGCTTTTAACATAACATTTCATCATATACATATCATACCATGACATATTGGATCACAATGTATCATATCATATACAAGTCATAACGTAAACACTTCGTAGTCATATGTTCTCTAACTTATCATAGCCTTACCGTTCTTATACCTATCATAGTCATACCGTTATGTGAACATACCTTAGTCATATCATCACAAGAACGTATCCTAACGCTATTGTTCTATAAATCTATCACAAACTTATCCCTTTCTACCGGTAACCTAATCGTATTCTTTCATCAATCTCTCTTATCCATATCACTCTGGTATGTAACCTAACCTTAATGTTTCATGAACGTATTTTACTCCTATTGTTACATTTCATTTTGTGCATCCTTCTCGTATCCTATCTCAAACATATCATTAAACACATCGTACCATAATTATTATCATACAGTTCAAATATTATAACATATACATAACATATAAGAAGCATATCGATCCACAGACAATTCACACATATCAATATATATGACACGTGCAGAACCACGAGGCACGTGTCAACATCAAATATAACCATACCGAGAATAAGGTCACTTACCTGGCTAGCTTAAGTCGTTGTCACGAATATATCTTTAACGAAAGTTCGATTCCGTCCTTTGTAATCCGAGTCAACTTATATAAGCCCATGACATGAGTTTCAAGTTTGAACTCTACACACTTATTTCTCTAATTTACATTGGTCATTGTAAATTATATGACACGTCCTTTGTATTTTCTTTTCCCTCTATATTTAGTTTGTGGTTTTTAATTCTTTGATCTTATTTTCTTCCTATCGGTTGCATTTTAATTTTGTTCTCATATATTCCAAATTTCTACTAAATCTTGTTTCCAAATCATTTCTTATCTTAGTGTTCACAAATTTTGTTGACCATTCTATTTTTAATCTATTAATTTGGCTACGGATATAAATTTAATCTAATATATTTACTAGCATTCCTATAAATGATTGACATTGAGTTTCTAACTGAAAGCTAAACCATTTTAATAATTCCATGAAGATCTAACTTCCGTTCTTGAGCTTCTAGTATCCAAATTGTTTCAAATTTTCTTCCACAGACTCCTCTTATTGTGTCTAGTTTCTAGAACCATAAATTTTTTTCATGAGAACCAGCATGGAAGGAGGTTCAGATTTAGAAAAACAAAAGAAGAAGATGAAACGTATATTTCCACCATTTCTGTAACGACCCTAAATTTTCACACACTCATAGTCACTACTAACGTCTCATGCTTATCTATAATGCGGAAATATAACTCTTACATGAACATCATTTATAACGTAAACTTCAAAAACGCTTAAAACAACTTTTTCTCTGGAAAACACAGCCATGGTCTTACGTATGAGAACCTCCCCCGCTCACGCCCATCGCGTTTCGATCATGCCGCCCCGCATGCGTTAAATCCGATTTTGTGCGCATGGCATGTCGGGTGCGATCATACCAGCACTAATGCACCGGATCCCATCAGAACTCCGCAGTTAAGCGTGCTTGGGCGAGAGTAGTACTAAGTTGGGTGACCACTTGGGAAGTCCTCGTGTTGCACCCCTTTTTTTCTTTCAATTTCTCCCAGTTCTTTTCTTCCTTTGTCTACAAATGAGAACCTCCCCCGCTCACGCCCATCGCGTTTCGATCATGCCGCCCCGCATGCGTTATCTCCAATTTTGTGCGCATGGCATGTCGGGTGCGATCATGCCAGCACTAATAAACCTGTTCCCATCAGAACCTCGCAGTTAAGCGTGCTTGGGCGAGAGTAGTACTAAGTTGGGTGACCACTTGGGAAGTCCTCGTGTTGCACGCCTTTTTTTCTTTCAATTTCTCCCAGTTCTTTTCTTCCTTTCTCTATAAATGAGCCCCTCCCCCGCTCACGCCCATCGCGTTTCGATCATGCCGCCCCGCATGCGTTAAATCCGATTTTGTGCGCATGACGTCGGGTGCGATCATACCAGCACTAATGCACCGGATCCCATCAGAACTCCGCAGATAAGCGTGCTTGGGCGAGAGTAGTACTAAGTTGGGTGACCACTTGGGAAGTCCTCGTGTTGCACCCCTTTTTTTCTTTCAATTTCTCCGAGTTCTTTTCTTCCTTTCTCTACAAATGAGAACCTCCCCCGCTCACGCCCATCGCGTTTCGATCATGCCGCCCCGCATGCGTTAAATCCGATTTTGTGCGCATGGCATGTCGGGTGCGATCATACCAGCACTAAAGCACCGGATCCCATTAGAACTCTGCAGTTAAGCGTGCTTGGGCGAGAGTAGTACTAAGTTGGGTGACCACTTGGGAAGTCCTCGTGTTGCACCCCTTTTTTTCTTTCAATTTCTCCCAGTTCTTTTCTTCCTTTCTCTACAAATGAGAACCTCCCCCGCTCATGCCCATCGCGTTTCGATCATGCCGCCCCGCATGCGTTAAATCGGATTTCGTGTGCATGGCATGTCGTGTGCTATTATACTAGCACCAATGCACCGTATCTCATCAGATCGGATTTCGTGTGCATGGCATGTCGTGTGCTATTATACTAGCACCAATGCACCGTATCTCATCAGAACTCTGCAGTTAAGCGTGCTTGGGCGAGAGTAGTACTAAGTTGGGTGACCACTTGGGAATTCCTTGTGTTGCACCCCTTTTTTTCTTTCAATTTCTCCCAGTTCTTTTCTTCCTTTCTCTACAAATGAGAACCTCCCCCGCTCACGCCCATCGCGTTTCGATCATGCCGCCCCGCATGCGTTAAATCCGATTTTGTGCGCATGACGTCGGGTGCGATCATACCAGCACTAATGCACCGGATCCCATCAGAACTCCGCATTTAAGCGTGCTTGGGCGAGAGTAGTACTTAGTTGGGTGACCACTTGGGAAGTCCTCGTGTTGCACCTCTTTTTTTCTTTCAATTTCTCCCAGTTCTTTTCTTCCTTTGTCTACAAATGAGAACCTCCCCCGCTCACGCCCATCGTGTTTCGATCATGCCGCCCCGCATGCGTTAAATCCGATTTTGTGCGCATGGCATGTCGGGTGCGATCATACCAGCACTAATGCACCGGATCCCATCAGAACTCTGCAGGTAAGCGAGCTTGGGCGAGAGTAGTACTAAGTTGGGTGACCACTTGGGAAGTCCTCGTGTTGCACCTCTTTTTTTGCTTGGGCGAGAGTAGTACTAAGTTGGGTGACCACTTGGGAAGTCCTCGTGTTGCACCTCTTTTTTTCTTTCCATTTCTCCCAGTTCTTTTCTTCCTTTGTCTACAAATGAGAACCTCCCCCGCTCACGCTCATCGCGTTTCGATCATGACGCCCCGCATGCGTTAAATCCGATTTTGTGCGCATGGCATATCGGGTGCGATCATACCAGCACTAATGCACCGGATCCCATCAGAACTCCGCATTTAAGCGTGCTTGGGCGAGAGTAGTACTAAGTTGGGTGACCACTTGGGAAGTCCTCGTGTTGCACCCCTTTTTTTCTTTCAATTTCTCCGAGTTCTTTTCTTCCTTTCTCTACAAATGAGAACCTCCCCCGCTCACGCTCATCGCGTTTCGATCATGCCGCCCCGCATGCGTTAAATCCGATTTTGTGCGCATTGCATATCGGGTTGATCATACCAGCACTAATGCACCGGATCCCATCAGAACTCCGCAGTTAAGCGTCCTTGGGCGTGAGTAGTACCAAGTTGGGTGACCACTTGGGAAGTCCTCGTGTTGCACCCCTTTTTTTCTTTCAATTTATCCCAGTTCTTTTCTTCCTTTCTCTACAAATGAGAACCTCCCCCGCTCACGCCCATCGCGTTTCGATCATGCCGCCCCGCATGCGTTAAATCCGATCTTGTGCGCATGGCATGCCGGGTGCGATCATACCAGCACTAATGCACCGGATCTCATCAGAACTCCGCATTTAAGCGTGCTTGGGCGAGAGTAGTACTAAGTTGGGTGACCACTTGGGAAGTCCTCGTGTTGCACCCCTTTTTTTCTTTCAATTTCTCCGAGTTCTTTTCTTCCTTTCTCTACAAATGAGAACCTCCCCCGCTCACGCCCATCGCGTTTCGATCATGCCGCCCCGCATGCGTTAAATCCGATTTTGTGCGCATGACATGTCGGGTGCGATCATACCAGAACTAATGCACTGGATCCCATCAGAACTCCGCATTTAAGCGTGCTTGGGCGAGAGTAGTACTTAGTTGGGTGACCACTTGGGAAGTCCTCGTGTTGCACCTCTTTTTTTCTTTCAATTTCTCCCAGTTCTTTTCTTCCTTTGTCTACAAATGAGAACCTCCCCCGCTCACGCCCATCGCGTTTCGATCATGCCGCCCCGCATGCGTTAAATCCGATTTTGTGCGCATGGCATGTCGGGTGCGATCATACCAGCACTAATGCACCGGATCCCATCAGAACTCTGCAGTTAAGCGAGCTTGGGCGAGATTAGTACTAAGTTGGGTGACCACTTGGGAAGTCCTCGTGTTGCACCTCTTTTTTTCTTTTAATTTCTCCCAGTTCTTTTCTTCCTTTGTCTACAAATGAGAACCTCCCCCGCTCACGCTCATCGCGTTTCGATCATGACGCCCCGCATGCGTTAAATCCGATTTTGTGCGCATGGCATATCGGGTGCGATCATACCAGCACTAATGCACCGGATCCCATCAGAACTCCGCATTTAAGCGTGCTTGGGCGAGAGTAGTACTAAGTTGGGTGACCACTTGGGAAGTCCTCGTGTTGCACCCGTTTTTTTCTTTCAATTTCTCCGAGTTCTTTTCTTCCTTTCTCTACAAATGAGAACCTCCCCCGCTCACGCTCATCGCGTTTCGATCATGCCGCCCCGCATGCGTTAAATCCGATTTTGTGCGCATGGCATATCGGGTGCGATCATACCAGCACTAATGCACCGGATCCCATCAGAACTCCGCAGTTAAGCGTCCTTGGGCGTGAGTAGTACTAAGTTGGGTGACCACTTGGGAAGTCCTCGTGTTGCACCCCTTTTTTTCTTTCAATTTATCCCAGTTCTTTTCTTCCTTTCTCTACAAATGAGAACCTCCCCCGCTCACGCCCATCGCGTTTCGATCATGCCGCCCCGCATGCGTTAAATCCGATTTTGTGCGCATGGCATGCCGGGTGCGATCATACCAGCACTAATGCACCGGATCCCATCAGAACTCCGCATTTAAGCGTGCTTGGGCGAGGGTAGTACTAAGTTGGGTGACCACTTGGGAAGTCCTCGTGTTGCACCCCTTTTTTTCTTTCAATTTCTCCGAGTTCTTTTCTTCCTTTCTCTACAAATGAGAACCTCCCCCGCTCACGCCCATCGCGTTTCGATCATGCCGCCCCGCATGCGTTAAATCCGATTTTGTGCGCATGGCATGTCGGGTGCGATCATACCAGCACTAATGCACCGGATCCCATCAGAACTCTGCAGTTAAGCTTGCTTGGGTGAGAGTAGTACTAAGTTGGGTGACCACTTGGGAAGTCCTCGTGTTGCACCCCTTTTCTTCATTCAATTTCTCCCAGTTCTTTTCTTCCTTTCTCTACAAATGAGAACCTCCCCCGCTCACGCCCATCGCGTTTCGATCATGCCGCCCCGCATGCGTTAAATCCGATTTTGTGCGCATGGCATGTCGGGTGCGATCATACCAGCACTAATGCACTCTCCATCAGAACTCCGCAGTTAAGCGTGCTTGGGCGAGAGTAGTACTAAGTCGGCTGACCACTTGGGAAGTCCTCGTGTTGCACCCATTTTTTTCTTTCAATTTCTCCGAGTTCTTTTCTTCCTTTCTCTACAAATGAGAACCTCCCCCGCTCACGCCCATCGCGTTTCGATCATGCCGCCCCGCATGCGTTAAATCCGATTTTGTGCGCATGGCATGTCGGGTGCGATCATACCAGCACTAATGCACCGGATCCCATCAGAACTCCGCAGTCAAGCGTGGTTGGGCGAGAGTAGTACTAAGTTGGGTGACCACTTGGGAAGTCCTCGTGTTGCACCCCTTTTTTTCTTTCAATTTCTCCCAGTTCTTTTCTTCCTTTCTCTACAAATGAGAACCTCCCCCGCTCACGCCCATCGCGTTTCGATCATGCCGCCCCGCATGCGTTAAATCCGATTTTGTGCGCATGGCATGTCGGGTGCGATCATACCAGCACTAATGCACCGGATCCCATCAGAATTTCGCGGTTAAGCGTGTGGCCACTTGGGAAGGTAAGCTAATATATGGATAAAGCAATTCTTATAGTAGCAAGCTAGCCCCTTATCTGCGTGGAGGAAAAATGGGACTATTCTAAGGGGCTGGGCTGGAGTGGACAGTACTCCTTGGCCTTTTACTAGTTAGTCCCCCCGGTAAAGCCCCCACCCCTGACGACCTATTCTATACCAGCTTCTTCTATAGATGAGATAACTGGAGCAGATTTAATAGCAAGGGATATTGACCCAGCAGCTTGTTGCGCAAAAGAATATGTTTCAAAACAAAGAAGCTCCATTCTTCGTTAGAGTGGTTCTTCGACTGTTCACCTACTAAATAAATGATCATCTTCTTCATCGCTACGCTACGGGGGAGCATTGCTACGGGGGAGCATTGTCCGAGTGAATAAGCAGGGCAAAGCTTGATTTTCGAGGCTGGGCTGACATCACATACACAAGTGCTCTCTAAACCGTGCAATAAGGGCAGGCAGATCGGATCGAAGGGTTGTCCATTGGGATTGGGCATGGACAATCATGACAAGTTAATTGTAAAATAACATAAAAATAAAATAATAAACAATCAAACAAATAAGGGACTATTATATTTTTTAGTAGAATTGCACATGCCAAATGAATTAAAAAAAAAGAAAGAAAG